CATGTTCCTTCCTCCATCAAAAAGTTAACGTTTAGATCTTCCTCAAATCATTGTGATGATGAATTCCATTTTTTTCCTTCACAAGCCATCTGTTAGCTAATGGAAGATCAAAAACCAAGGGATGCTTATCACCATCCAATACTTTAATGCATGTCTCATTAAATGTGCCTCAAGATGAACCTCATTACAACCTCAAAATATGAAGGTGTAAGCTACTTTCTCCCACTATGAGGCATTAAGGCACAAGGCATATTGCATGTGCCTCAACATGAGATGGAACTAAAAGTGCGCCTCAAATTATGCAATTTTAAATAATGAACTCATTAAAAACTAAAAAATTGAGCACAGCTTTTACCCAATAAAGCAATATCCAAAATTATCAAAGTATATCATAAAAAAAAAATCATATAAACAATCAACAAGAAGTCAAAGATAAATAATTAAACAAAAAAAAAGAAGTCTAAAATAAACAAGTAAAAATACTCTTAATAAACTAGTTATGGCTAGAACCCCAACTTCAAAAATATCTCCCATTCATATCACTTAGAAGGTCTTCATTAAAAACATTATCTTAGTTAATTGCTTTCTCACCTCCCTCAACCTCACATGTATCAATACCTTCCCAGTCATTATCATCACTTCAATATTCATCATCTTCCTATTTCCTAATCAATAAAATGCAATAAGAATATTATTTAAAAGAATAACTATATTAATTTCTTTTGAATTTTTATTAAATAAGGTTTCTAAAATAGTAATTCCCTTGCTTTTCTGTTGACTTCTTTGCTCATGTTCCTTCCTCCATCAAAAAGTTAACGTTTAGATCTTCCTCAAATCATTGTGATGATGAATTCCATTTTTTTCCTTCACAAGCCATCTGTTAGCTAATGGAAGATCAAAAACCAAGAAAAAACCAAGGGATGTTTATCAGCATCCAATACTTTAATGCAAAACAAGAAGTACAAGTGTATGTCTCATTAAATGTGCCTCAAGATGAACCTCATTACAACCTCAAAATATGAAGGTGTAAGCTACTTTCTCCCACTATGAGGCATTAAGGCACAAGGCATATTGCATGTGCCTCAACATGAGATGGAACTAAAAGTGCGCCTCAAATTATGCAATTTTAAATAATGAACTCATTAAAAACTAAAAAATTGAGCACAGCTTTTACCCAATAAAGCAATATCCAAAATTATCAAAGTATATCATAAAAAAAAAATCATATAAACAATCAACAAGAAGTCAAAGATAAATAATTAAAACAAAAGGAGAAGTCTAAAATAAACAAGTAAAAATACTCTTAATAAACTAGTTATGGCTAGAACCCCAACTTCAAAAATATCTCCCATTCATATCACTTAGAAGGTCTTCATTAAAAACATTATCTTAGTTAATTGCTTTCTCACCTCCCTCAACCTCACATGTATCAATACCTTCCCAGTCATTATCATCACTTCAATATTCATCATCTTCCTATTTCCTAATCAATAAAATGCAATAAGAATATTATTTAAAAGAATAACTATATTAATTTCTTTTGAATTTTTATTAAATAAAGTTTCTAAAATTGTAATTCCCTTGCTTTTCTGTTGACTTCTTTGCTCAAGTTCCTTGCTCCATCAAAAGTCAACGTTTAGATCTTCCTCAAATCATTGTGATGATGAATTCCATTTTTTTCCTTCACAAGCCATCTGTTAGCTAATGGAAGATAAAAAACCAAGGGATGTTTATCAGCATCCAATACTTTAATGCAAAACAAGAAGTACAAGTGTATGTCTCATTAAATGTGCCTCAAGATGAACCTCATTACAACCTCAAAATATGAAGGTGTAAGCTACTTTCTCCCACTACGAGGCATTAAGGCACAAGGCACATTGCATGTGCCTCACCATAAGATGGAACTAAAAGTGCACCTCAAATTATGCAATTTTAAATAATGAACTCATTAAACACTAGATAATATCTTCAATATCAAAAAGCATGTAGCCCTATATAAAATTATATATCATAATAAACTAATTTTGCTTAATAATGTTCAATTTTTCACTCAAAGAAAAACACCTCCAATGCCTACACCTAAAGCGTCCCAGGGAATATCAAATAATACAACAACAACAACAACAAGCCTTTATACCACTAAGTGGGGTTGGTTGCATGAATCTTTTTTCTACATGAATCCTTTTTCTCCATTGTGTCAGGAGAAATCTCAAATGCCAAAACAAAAACAGGTAATGTAAGCACATGTCCATTTGAATGTTTTTTCTTTTTCTTTAATAGCACGATTAACATATTTCATCCAATGAAAGATCTCTGCATAAGAAAAGTAGTAGTAGATGTCATGATGTTATTGAATCCTATAATAAATCTTCCACAAATGTAGCCATGGCATAGAAACTTCTTATCACATGAATATTAGTATTTTTTTTTCTTTTGATTTATCATACTCAATAGAAATTTATTTAATTAATATGACAATCCCTAAGATTATTCCATAAAATTTTAAAATTACATTCTCAAATTTAAATATAATTTATCTTTATGTGATAATTATAAATTCTTCTAAGACGGTACCAAACTAGTCTTGTTATGTATGGAAACACAGGATAAAAAATTCTAATGAAAGGTCAAAAAATATTGTCCATAATTCACATAAAGAACTTGAAGTAGTAGTTAATCCAAATGGAGTAACCAACCATTCATATAACCCATCCTTAGCTTTAAAAAAAAAATTCATTTATCTCCTTTTGGAATTATTATTTAATGATAACTACTACTTGGATCAATTTTGAAAATATTATAACTTCAATCATCATATCCAACGTACCATTCAATGCAGAAATTGAAAATTGAAATATTAACTGCTATGTTGTGAACATGTATATGCCCACTTCGACCTTTTCCCAGTAATGTTGAAGCTGCAAGAGCTTGAACTCTCCAATAAATCTCTTATTAATAAAACATCTATTTAACTTTTAAGTTTGGAAAGGTCAGTCAGATTCATCATGTAATTTGGCATGATCCAAGAAATAGATCAACATGTTTTATGCTTAAAAGTGGGAATAATTTATTTGGAGGATTACTAGGATGTCAATCGTTGAAATAAATTTGAGTGACATCATCAGGTATATCATCACAAATTTTTATATTGCTGATATGTTCATAATTGATGGTATGCCACTCTACCCTTACTAATAGATCACCTTAGCTAAAACATATTAATATAAAAAAATAATCCATTCATTGATATTAGAAATAATAAATTTATGTAAAAATCAAATAAAATTCTCATTTTACTTCACATTAAAAGAAAATTCAAACTTAATGAATGAAAATAAGGTAATTTTTTATCCTAATTTATAGAAACTAATAATTAAAAAAAATCAAGTTGTTAAAAATATAAAAAAAATTATTTAAATTGGTAAGCCTTTTGAATATGATGGAAGTTAAAATGCAAGAAAAATCTAATTTTGTGGAACAAAAATTAATTATAGTGTACAACAATGGGACCCATTTCTCAGCTTAAAGTCTCAATTTGTGTTTTGTAATTCAAGATTTGCATCATATCCATTATTTCATGTTAGCATATCCACACACAATAGCTCTTCTTTTTAATCAAACTAAAAACATTGTATGATACAGCCTTATAAACTAAAATTTCAATTCCAAACCCAAATGTTCAAGCCTGTAACCAATAACCACAACTGCATGCTTAATCTGTTCTTCAGCATTTTACGATTCTAAGAACTTGACAATGAAAGCTCAATACCATCAGCTTTTAAACCCTCCGATAACTTTAAATCATATCCTTCTCAGCATAGGACCTCTCTTTCTCTCCCAAGTTCCTTGACTTACAATTCTAATGAAGTTTAGCTGCCACTATCTGTTGGTGTAAAGAAAGTTTCCACATAATTAAACAAATCAAATGAAAAACAAATCAAATGAAAAAACAAATCAAATGAAAAAATTGATGTCATGGAAATTAAATTTGCTTGATTTCATCAGGAAAATATTAATAAAAACATCTGACAAAATTAAAATAAAAATCAAACATTAGAAGTTCAATGGCTGAGTCTAAACGGCTATAGTTTCTGAATTAAATTACAAAAAGTTCGTTGACACTGCACAACTGACCATGTAGTAATGGTGTACATTCTCATCAGCCCTACAAGACGCTAGAGTCGTATCAGCAAATTATCACTTCATATCACATTCTAGATGTCAAACAAAATTTTATCAGAATTCCTAACAATTTAAGAAAGAAAAATCTATAATGATAATCAGTACCATAAGCTTGAACAGCCCAACACTCAACCTATCATTTTAGCACGTTCATCATGATAGCCGATATCCACCACAATTTTTATGATCACACAATTGATTTTACCAATTATTTGATAATCATGTTAGCTCAATTCCAGTTAAAACGTCAATAATAAGTTAGCAAATTTGCATAATCAAACTATTTATCCGCCAAATTATCCCACCCAAACCTCAAAGCATACAGTTCTATCAACCATTTCCTTAATGTTCATCAAATAGCTGAGGCCAAGATCTTCAAGGCCGCCAGCATAAACAATGCATCACCTCTCCCTAACTTGAGAAAACTGTATATACCATAAAAAAATTATGCTCTAGTGAATCTCACACGTTTCTTCCCTTCACACGAACACTCTCAAGATCCAACCCATAAAATTTTGATTTGAATGATTCATCTAATGGCGAAACTGCAGTAACAACTTCAAAACCGTGTGAAAAAAAAATTTCTGGTGAAACAAGAGAAGGTTACGAAATGAAAAGATTCATGAACAGACCTTTCAACATTCCAATTCAAGAAAGCAACTGCCTGATAAAAATGCTAGTCATCTATTGCCCCACAGAAAGCCCAGTTTACCAACATCTCAACATCCGAAAAACACAAATAACTAAATCGAAAGGAAAATAGCAATAAACTATAGAAATTGCAAAATCAATGGCAAGAAAGGGGGAAATGAGCTCACTTCGAGAAGGATTTAGAGGTTGGAGCTGCCAGAAAACGGGAACAAGTTAAATTTCCCTTAGAGGAAGAAAGTAGCGGAGGCTTTCGAGTTTGCATAACCAGAGAAGGCCATCTTAAGGCCATTCTTCTTCTATTGCGCTTCCACGACTCGCAGCTAGGGTTTCTAAGCGATTCAGAAGATGCACTCGCACGCTTAGCTCATTTAGGGCTGTGTGGAAACCTCTCCGTTTTTCTTTTTCTTTTTCTTTTTTTTTTTAATGTGATAGGAATTTTTTGGATGGTAAATTTGTAAATAGTAAAATTTGGCAGTTACCTATCTTATATCTGAACTTTGTATTTCTTATGCATGTCACATTTCTCACTCATGGAAAGCTGTATTTCATTTTTTTTAAATTAAAATGATAAACTGAAAGATTTAGGGGTATATTATAAAAAGTAAAATTTAACTGTTACATATGTAAATACATAAAAATTGGGTGGTATACATGTAAATACATGTAAAATTGGGTGGTATAATTGTAAAAAATTTTGTTTATTATTATTTGTTTGCTTTAATTGTTTCATTTTTAATCAGTTTTTAAAAGAACATAAATTATATTATTATTATTTTTAAAACATAAATTCGAGCCATATACGTATTAAACAAAATTATTCGTTTCATCTCATTTACTTGACAAAAAAAATCGAACACGACTTGTCCGTCAAGGGCGAGCAATTTTAACAGCCCTAATCATGAATACCCTTCTTCAATCTCTATTATTTCTTTCACTTTTTAGCTTCTCTTCTTTTATCTTTGGATTTGATTCTGACTTGTTACATTGGGGATTAATTATTCAGCAATACAGATCTATATATAATTCTCATAGTTGTTCCAGCAATGTTTTTGGATGTAGGGATTCGGAATGGGTTCCGATTATTGTTAAAAAGCAGAGACCATTTGGCTTTTCCATTGTGAAATTTTACAATCAAATTGGTTACTAAAGTCGCGTTTGAGGCGGCGGTGTGTCGGCGTTGTGGTGCTGCACCACAGTTTTTTCTGTTTGGTAAATCTAAATTTTGTCTGTGTTCTAAAAAAACTGCAGCTAAAAGCTGTGTTCTCCCACCATACCTGACTACTTTCGGTGGCTACTAACTGCGGTCTAAATTTAACTTTTTTTTTTTTTTTGGTAATAACCGCAATAATTTTTTAAACAACTGTTTCTTCTGCAACAACATTACAGCTACTTCTTTGAACAAATGCAACCCCAAACATACCCGAAATGTGGCCATTAATTCATTAAAGTTTTGTAAAGTTTTTTTACAACTTATATTCATTCTGAAGTTTATTCTAATCATTATTTTTAAGTTAAATAAAGTATAAATGTGTTTTGTCTCTAGTATGAACCCAATGTTTGGCTTACTATGTAAATGGTTATATAAATCAAATACCAACTTCATGTTTTTCTTTCTTCATTAATTTTTAAGTTGGGTTTATGGAATTAAATAAATATTTATTTTGTAAAATGCTTGGAGTATTATATACTTTTTGGACAACTGTGGTAAATTTGGCTATCATTAAGGCATCTCACCACATAAATAAAGTTAAGTCAAACATATATGAGTGGCTGTGAAAAAAGTGATGTACAATTGACATATTCCTAGAAATTTCCATGATAAGTATTAAGTAGACTATTTTTAATCAGCTCTATTAGATTATGACAATTATAAAAATGAGGTACAATTTTTTATATTTTAGATCATAATTTTTTTAATATTCATGATAACTTAAAAATTTTTTTTTTCTCAAAGTATTGTGACAGATAATTTAATATACAGTTGTTGCCTTCTCAGAGGAGTCTAAAATATTTGATTATGATTATTAATATACTAATGATGAAATGTATTTTTAGCCTTTTGTTTTCCTAATCTCTAAACTAATTTATCTATCAGCTGATATATTATAAATGTTAGTGATATGATTGAAATATGTGGAGAGGCAATCTAGTCGGAAAAAAATGGAGCAAATTTTTGTCCAACTTATGAAAATTGTAATCATTAAAAGAAATAAACAACAACTTTTAGTTATAGTTGCATGATCATGCATATGCAAGGTTTTGAATCACGATCACTTGGGGAATATGTTTAATACTTTTAAAGCTCGTTGGATTGACTTCTCCAATTTATTCAACAAGACTATAACTGGTTAAAATGCTATCACAGGTCAAGTGATTGCATCTGAAGATGTTTATTAGAAGTCATATATGGTACCTATTTGATAATAAATTATACTTGCAGCTCATATTTACTAGTTATGAATAATAATAATAGGATGTTGAATCATATTTATGTCGATAAAAGCGTAAGGACATTCAAAATATGACTTTCTTTGTTGGATTTATGATGACACCATTGCAATAGCTATCATTTAATATCCAACCACCAAAATCTTCTCAAACATCGAAGAAAAAGAGATTGTGAAAAGTAAATGAATTCTATAGATGGATTCATAGATAAAAAAAAAATTACGAGGATGTTGAACTTAAGGGAAGATGCATTCAAAATGTACTAAGACGACAATAATTTTATATGTTAATATAAGTACACTCCAAACATCAAATAAAGCTTTAAAGAGAATGAATAATATGATAGAGAAGAAAAAATGTTCATATCATTTAGATTTTCATTTGAATATACACAACCATTCAACATATAAATATTTTATTTTTATCTCTTTAATGTTTGACTGATTGTATTTGTACTATATTATAAATGACTATATACTATGTATGGGCTTGTTTGATAAGAAATTAAATATCATACTAGTGTAAGAAACTAAGGCTAAAATAAACATATGCACAAATCTTTTTCTCCATTCTCAAAGTTGTTACTCTTAAACTTTCAAATATACTTTGATAGTTATGTGAGTGTTATCATGAAGTGATCATTGATATCCACCAAAACTGTATTATATGTTGCGTTGTGCTAGGATTGGCCAGTTCCACTCCTCAGAGTTATGGTAGTTTGATAGTTATGCGAGTGTTATTTTGTCAGAGATCTTAAATCATGAAGTGATCATTGATATCCACCGAAGCTGTATTATATGTTGCGTTATGCTAGGATTGGCCAGTTCCACTCCTCAGAGTTATGATGTTGTGATGATGGTGTGATAAAAGAATTTTGTTCTCGGAGCAACATGCTTCTCCAATAGGGTAAAAGAATTAGGTTGTTCCATTACTTTTCAAGGAGCATATATATATATACAAATTTCTCCACCCCTAACTATTTTTGGATATGTACTTAAAAACTATTTTGAAGTAGAGGTGTAAACGAGCCGAACACGAGCTGACTGAGCCTGGCTCAGCTCGCTCGCCCAGGCTCAACACATATTCGGCTTGTTTATATTTCGAGCTCAAAAAGTGTGTTTGTGTTCGGCTCGTTTGCTTAGCGAGCAGAACACGATACTGTTCGAGAACAAAAAACCGTTTTGGCAGCCCTAGTCATGCATGAGAACAAAAAACCGTTTTAACAAGCCCTAGTCCTGACTCGGCTTGTTAAAAAATATCGTTGTTCGTGTTCTAATCAGTAGTATTTTGAGTCAAAACGAGCCGAACACGAACGAACAAATATTTGTTTGTGTTGTTTGAATATTTGTTCGTTCGTGTTCAGCACGTTAACTTAGCAAACGAGCCGAACACAAGGTGTTCGTGAACAACGAGCCGTTTTGACAGCCCTATTTTGAAGTACATAATAAATAAAATAAAATACTTAGATTTAGGTAAGTTTAATCTCATTTATTATATATTTGGCTTAATAAAATAAAATATTTTGATAAAATTCAACCGCTGGGTGATGTGATCTTTCGGGCCGATTAAAAAAATCAAATGGTCACATGGAATGCCTCTCACCATAAATATTTAGACGCTTGTTGGGGGAAAACATAAAGCCATATAACGGTGAGTAATAGCTTGAGCAACCCTACTCTATAAAAATTTATCATTTTCAATATAAAAAAAATAAACGAATTATTAAATTGTAAATTATTATAGGAAGATTTAAATGCACAGCACTTAATTCCCATGTATTTACATTTCTAGCACCTAAACATCAATTTTTTCACGTACATTTCGATCCCGGGTCAGAGAGGACTTACGACTGACGAAATAGCTGCGAAGTAACTTGCCAATTATATCAAATAATAATATTTTTGAGGTGATACGAAAATTTTGAGTGGCTTAAATATAGGAAATAAAATCTTGATGTTAGATATGTAAATACATTGAAAATACATGCTATGTGCCTAAATGCCCCAAATTATGCATCTTTATTTTTTCTTAAAAATGTAATGTTTCCACTCTCTTATGTTGGAACATTTGACAGGTGATTGGCTGCACCCAGAATTTAAGTTAAATAGGATTTAGATCATGTGAATCAGAACGTGTAAAATTTAGTTTTTCGTTAACATTCAGTTAAATTCTTTTGAGGTGTTGTGCATTTTCTTTCGGGATTTAATGCAAAATAAGCATAACATGTAAGAACATCATATGAAACTGTGACTTCTTCGCAGCACAGATGTTGTGGTCGTCTTTTTTTTCTTTTTCGCGTAATCCGTTAAATCATTGGATTTAATAAATCCGGGATTTACGTAGAAATAGTGAGAGATTTGAACTCACGAAAGCCGCGAATTTTGGCATTTGGCTGAATTTAGTGAGAATCCAATTCTAAATCCTATTAAAATTATGCCACAAATATAATCAAATTGTAAGTTATTATATATTCTTAATTGCACGATGCCACATGATGATATATTACTATACTTCTAATAGGTTAGGTGGTTGGAGTTTCACATCGCTTCTTCAAAGGAAGGTAAGGGGTCAAAATAATGTAAATAGCACCAAATAGACCATTTAGTAGGGGGTTATTTGGGACTATTCAAGCTAATGATTGGGATGCATGCTTTTTTAATAAATCAAGTTAAATAAATAAATAAATAAATAACTCTGTAATTTAGCTTTTATGAAGAAGGAAATTATTCTTATTTTTTTTCTAATATCGAACCATAAACTAAAATGTACGTGGCTCGAATTTATGAGCTTAGAAATATAATCATTTTCTTTGGCCATTGCACGAGCCTTTTCACTTATTTTATGATGAAATTAAAGAGGTGTTTGGTTGTAATATGAATTTAGGGTGAATATAATTTACTAATAAAGCTGATGATGGAGATGGAGATCGTGAGGGA